CCTAATAAATGAGGAACGTGGCTGCTTGTCAAGGCCACGGGTCGGACGGGATTGCATCAGACTAAGGCGCTCTAATAGTCCCTAACGCTGCCGCCGCGTGCTAGCCAGGACACTACCCAGGTAATATGCCATTAGATTGTGAGGCCAAGACCTCGAGTCTTTCAGCTGAAGTTTGACACGGCTATGCATGGCATGGTAAAGTGTGTACTGTACAGTCTGTACCCAGGGAGACCGTCAAAATTATGCCGTCCACTTCAAGTAACTGCAGCCTGTACAAACAAAGTTGGCAGACAAGGTGCCTTGTCTGCCTGGTACTGGTACAGGTACAGGTAAGAACGTATTGTACATGCGTAAACAGGTAAGCTCAGGAATACCCGAGGCCCTGCGAAACCGCGTGGATGTTTCTGTTGCTTAGCATCATGAGCATGGTAGCGACATCTACACTAATGTGAGTCCTACAGTAGGAGCTGGGAGGGGCTGACACAGGCAAAGTGGGATGTGCACGTCCGAGCCCGTAGGTCCTCAGCTCACGACAACAGCGCATCCCTTACTACCTTATGAGGATGCGCGACTAAATGTGGTTCGCTATTGCTGATCAAACTTCCGGTGAGGTACTCAAGGTACTGTACTGCACGGCGCAAAGGGAACATACACAGAAAAGTGAAGTGAACCCGAACCAGAGTCAGAACCCGCCGGAGAGCATGCACGCCGATGTAATTCTGCTACCACACTTTTACCTATGTATTTCACAGGGTTCTTGTCGTACTACCGGTACCTACATGCAGGTAGATTGTTATAATCCCCTGGATCTGAAAGCTGCCCATCCCCTTGCTGCAGACTGCGCCTGTTCTACATGTACATTGGGGTCCAGGTGCCAAAACGATGTCACTTGTACACACTGATTCTCAATATCGGCGAATGATTGCCTCGCCGCATTGGATGATGAGCTTCACGGCATCAGTTCATCCTACTTGGAGCAAACGCAGTAGAGCATGTGAATGTGGCCCGGAGTCAAGTGTCGACTAATCAAGATCCATGTGAAATGCCTAGGACTCCAAGCAGCGATAGAAGACAGCTGTCGATTCTGAGGTTTGGATTTGTATGTGATGCAGACTGGACTGGACATCTCGCGACTGTGACTGACATCTCCAACCATCGGATGTGGGTGGGGATGTGGTAGGACAACGGTTGCTTGTCGCCGGTGACTCTGCCTTCTGACTCTGATCGCATCGCGGGGTCTGTTCCTCCATCTTACAGCGTCAACGAACTCGAGTACGTGGTGGCGCCAAAGCCACCTCCAATCACCGTCAATACAGCTCCAAGTCAGTTCACATCCCGACAATTCTACAACGCGTCCATAGCAGATCACCGTTCCCTCCAGATCCGCCGAGGATGCAACGCGCAGGCGGCCAAAAAAGCTTATGACCACGTACCCTACGACTTTTTTTCACGACGAACCCGGGCTAGACATTCGAAGATTGACCAATGTGCTAGGTGCATAGGCATCATGTATCTGAAGGGACGCATAATCGTAACTCACTGTTGCTGCGCCGAGGGAAAAGACAAGACCTCCCATCCAGTTACGTAGTTCACGACCACGTGGAAGACTATCGCCATGAGTTGCGTCGTCTCGATGTCGTCGTCAATTGTTGAGCCTAGAGCTGCAGACTCTAGCGCAGTATAGGACAGGCTGCTTGTCCTAGCCGCGCTGTATAGGCCTAGGTAGGACTCTGTCATCACCTAATACAACCTCGACCAGGAGGGTATTCAACGTCCCTCTGCCTACGACACGGCTGTCGCACCCGCAGTTCTGCAGAGAGCCTGACTCCATATGCGGCTCAGATTCGTGCGTCAACGCCAGGCATGCAGGACCAATTCCCTCCTCGATAAGGATAGGAAGCATCTCTTGCACGGCAAGCACCACACAGTCACCAGCCCTGCCTTAAGGACCATCCACACAGTAATGAGTCATGCCATGTTGTATAACATACCGTGGCAACATGTTGGTCGAGGCAACGTGCACCAAGGCTCGATCTCTCATGACAAAATGTCTATAAGTACATTCAAAATCTCCCCCGAGAGATACCATCAATCTTTAGCCGTTTATTATCGCGCTCGTCTGGCGACATTCACCTTTGAGATCCTCTCAAAGAGAGAGGGGCCTCCCGAAGAGAAATTATCGTGTCTCGAGGCAACATATTCCAGCATTAGACATGTGATTGAACTCATCGTCGACGCTATCACTCTCACTATTTCTCGAATTGTAGGCTCGATAAAGACGAACCACACTCTTTCAAAGGGTACTTCTACCAACGGAATCAACACCTCATCTACATTCTCCCCTGAAATCGCTATTTACAATGAAAAGACGCCGATTTCGTATGCAATCCCAAAAAATCTCGCTCAAGTGGTGATTGAAGAATGCTATATAGCGGATCGGCTACCCACCTACCTCCCAGCGTTGCATACATAAGGTTGGGAAAAGTCCGAATATCCCATGAGTCTGGTGATAGGTCCTCGATCAGTTACCCATCGAAGTAATTCGCCGATTCTCGTGGATCATACCATTTTTACTACACCAATGGCGTTTTCGGGCTAGATGAGGCTGGGCCATCCCCTTTCGTGTAATAGAGTTGCTAGGGACAATCACGCTCATGAGGTATTTGGTAGGAGATCGGGTTCTGGTATGAGACCATCCTGCGGATACTTTTATACTCCAAAAGGGCTACTAGCTATGACAGGCCTTGGGCTTTGAGAGTTTCGCGGGCCCCCTTGTCTATATCTAATAGAAAGGGAACTGCTCGCCAAAAGCTCAAAGCCCAAGGACTGCGCCGGTGGGCTCGAATATGGGGAGTTGATACTATCACAGTGGGCTAGGATAGTCAGAATTACAACTGAAATATGACGATTCGTTGCATGTGCTTTTTTTACTCATATTTGCAACCCGGCAATAGTAATTCATTTCTTGCTCGAGGATAGAACCATGTCTAAATATCTATGCCGAATGACAGTGTCTCTGGAAACAATCATGCCAAAGCCACCACTTCCAATCGACTTCCTCATGCGCCTCATCTTGTGATTGCAAGAAACTTGCCATATCCTTGAAGTTCTATGCCTCTTACTCGTTTACACTTCAGTGGTTCATGGCGCTTCAGTCCTAACGAGCCCCAGTTTCCTAATTCAGCGTGAGCTGGCTTATAAATCGAGGGATGACAAATGAAGGAGCACAATGTCTCTCCAATGCTTGAAAACAACAACACTACCTTTGTTAGATGCATGACGACAAGTACACGGAACATTGCGACCACGCTATGGATTTACCTGCATATGAGTTTATTTCACACACAGGCACTTGCAATGCCCGCGATACTGGAGTCATGCACTTGACTCGTTCCGGTAATTCACTCGGGGGTTGATGTAAAGAGAGTAGAGCCTCGTTCATGATAAATAGGGGGTAACATGTCGAGATATTGTGTGAGAAATCAGCCCAAGGAGCATTGAGGGACAATTCGGCTGAACCATATTCTCATCATGGCCACACTTTTACCAGAGAAACATATCGCAGTTGCAACTCCTGCGCCTCGGGCACCGCTTGTTCTGCTTGAGGTGTCCACCATTCCGCCCATAGATGGAGAAATCACTGTGCATGTGCAATGGGCCGCTTCTACTCCCCTGCATCTTCATCAAGCGGATGGTGGCCTACTCGTCAAACACCCCTACATCATGGGTGGTGATTTTGCCGGTACTGTGGTCGCAGTGGGACCTCCCTCCCGGAACCAAAGTGCCTCCGAAGAGATCGAGGTTGGCGATGCCGTCTTTGGCTTTGCATTTGCAGAGCCACGCCAGGAGTCTCATCAGACATACATAACCGTGCCGTTATACTTGCTGGGGAAGATTCCTCCAAATCTCTCCATGCAGGAAGCTGTCACAGTCCCCGCCAATCTAGTCACAGCTTTTCATACCATCACTCACGATCTTGGACTACCGCTCCCATGGCCCATCCCTGAGACTTGGGCACCACCGGAGTCAGTGCGAAACGCAGCTGTGGTGATATGGGGTGCGGGAAGCAGTGTGGGAAGCTACTCAGTGCAAGTGCTTCGGCACTGGGGCTATAGGAATATCGTAGCCGTTGCCTCGACCAGCCATCATCCGCGCCTTCGTGAGCTGGGCGCAGCGGAGTGCTTTGACTATCGACACGACAATGTTGTTCAGAGGCTTAAACGACATGTGTCTGAAACACAGGGGCTCCATGTACCGTTCATCATAGATTGCATAGGGTCGCTAGAAGGCACACTCCGGCCACTCACTGGCCTCGCAGAGCAAGGGACGAGGATAGCAGTCATGCTTCCCGTGATCATGAAGCACGCGAGCAAAACTGACGAGCCGATCTACGAAATGGACGTGACAAAATGTCTTCCGACGGAGTGGAAAGATGGCGTGGAACTGCGTGGGACGAGAACCCATTTCTACTCCGATGTAAGTTTGGTCAGCACTCACAAGATAGATATTATGGTAGGAACTAACCCCCTGGAAGAACGAGTTCTTCAAATTTCATCTTCAACCAGAGATCATACCAAAGTTACTTGCAGACGGCGTGATCCAACCAAATAAACAGAAGATCATCGATGGCCCATCGCTTTTGGAGCGTGCGGAACAAGCGCTGGGCCTCCTACGGGATAGGGCTCCCAGTGCGGAGAAACTTGTCTGGAGAGTCGCTGAATAAGATTGCTGTGAACATATGCCACGATGGTGATATCAATATTAACAAAGCTCCATTGCACCGGTCAAAAAAGATCGTTTCGTTGTCACCATATCAATGCATCGTATATACGTAATTAACCACGAGCCCCCCACGATTTATTGGCCATCTTCGAACTCATACCTCATGACTCAACCCCGAAAGCCCCAGCGCCCAGAGAAGCCCACAGCAGATAAATACATGTAGATATACCCAGTCGCGACCCAAGACAGTAGCCTCTGTGTTGTAGTCGACCTCGTCCTTATACCTGAATTGGTTCGCCAATACTTTGGCCGACAACCTCATTGATCCTGTCAGCGTCTGAGAATGTTTCTCCTTTCTTCTCGAGGCGGGCTCTAAACTCCCTCATCAACGTCAAGTGTAATCCGGGCAAGCTGTCAACCATCCAAGATGTGTCGCTGTCGTCCAAGCTCGTCGCTTCGTATGCTCCATCTTCATCGTGGTATATGAAGTGCTGCGCGCATTCCCACTCTCGAATATCATCCACACCATTTAGAATGTAGTCCTGCACACGATTGGTGATTTCAATCGGACCTCGTACAAAGCCCCATAGGCTGTAAGAACCGTGTCGCAGGATCATCTCCTGGAATGAGATAACTTTATCCCAGCCGTCTGGTTCGGTTTCGAGCTTCGGGCCTTGATAACGAGCGTACCCCCTTCCGGCCATCGTTGTCAACGCCAACAAGAATGCGAGATCACGGGTGGGTAGGCAACGAATGATTCTGATCTGTTGAAATCTTATCTTCGCCATGATCTTGGTGTTGCGGAACCTCTTGCCGTTGGCCTCTGCACCCTCGAGCATCTTGGGATAATGCGCCACAGTGTCTGCCAGGAGATCTGTGATGTATAGAGCTCGCTTGACCCCCTGCTTGAACTTGTCCATCGCCGCAGCTGTGATGCGAAGTGATTCAGGCCTCCAGGTGCACAAGAAGGTACATGTTGTCAGGATAGAATTGATGCGATGCTCCCGAAGCTCGAAGTCCCGAACGACCGCAAAAGACCAAGACTCTATCAACAAGCGATCTGGTCCGTCCGAGGACAGCACTGGCCCCAAAGGTGGAAGAAGAAATCCAGACAAGAGCCTCCCTCTAGAGATAGAGTGTTCATACTCGAAGATGATGTTTCGTATTGTCTGTATAGCTGTTAGAACAGAGGCCCGGGGTCTGCCAATTGATTTCAACGACCGCCAGTTGCTTGTCAAGATCAGACGTAAACAGGTAAAGCAAAGCACCTACACTACAGGTTCGAGCTAAATTCATGATGGTCTCAAGGTCAGCCTGCTCTGCGACCTGGAGGAGAATAGGCACGGGAATGACACAAGCCGCCATGTTGAGGGAAACGACCTGTGGTAAGCAATACACAGATTTATGTCTGTCCAAACAGTCAACGAAGTTGCCAAAGCGATAAGAGTGATGAAGCAAAAGACGGAGAGTGAAGGACGGCGGGTGGTCTCTCAAGAACGGTGCTCCTATATATACGTGCACCCTGATGGCCGGATCATGGCCTCGGAGCTCACAGCTATAGTGAAGTCGACGTGTGAGTAGGTAGACAATAGGAAAGACCAATGAACAATAAAAATAAGTGAATTCGCATGAAAGTTGCGATGAAGCAGCTGTGACTGGGGCGATGCTGTAGGGAAGTAGCGACACAAGCCGGGCACATGGCAGCCATTACCACCGTTAATCATGACTCTGAGTACTTGTGCTCACTTCAGACGACAACTGCCACCGGCAACATACCTTTCACGGGTTTCAACACCGCTGCTGAGAGCGCTAGTGCAACAGGCAATTAAGATGCTCTCATGAACCCTCGGGAAGAGCTGCGGTCTCCCGGATGTTGCTTGGTACACACAGATGAAGCACTATATTTAAGCCGGACCTGATCGAGAGTCAAGAGTCAATCTTATATAAAACTCCCGCGACATATCAGACAATTACCATTTTCTTTATTAAAAAAACAAAAATTAAAAAAAAAAAAAAAACAGTTTAACACGCCGGATATTATTTAGATTTAAAATCACAGAGATCAAGCGAAGATGTCTTCCAGACCTGAGGAACCTTTATATACGAATGCGGACACTTGTTTGCTACAAAAGATGGTATTAATACACGTCGCCCACACAAGCCTTATCGTTGGAGGCTTCTTGATGGATAATATTTGTCCACTAGGCCAGATCCCATGGTCATGACAAACTCCTTACGCCATTGATGCAATCCAGGAGCCATCCGACAGCATTAATACAAGAAAACGGTCCACAACCAAGCCCAATACGGCCAAGGTAATCACCTACAATTACTGTCCACCAGCCGTCCGTGTCTGATGGTGGATCGGAATTCCAAAGACCAGCAACTTATTTTCAAAGGTTACTGCCAGACTCTATGAAGCGTTCCTTCATTTCAACACGCTTACCACCCAGCGTTTTAATCTTCTCCACCAGGTCGTGGTTCCTGTCTAGTTCAGCAATATCATCGCTTCCTCCAATACTTTTGCCATTGACCATGATGTTGGGGACAGTCCGTCGGCCGGTCATTTCACCGAGGCGGGTTTGGATCTGAGGGCCCAGCGGATGCTCGTCAAGCTCGACAACATAAGGAGCGGGGTCGATATTGTACTTTTCAAGCAACAGGCCCTTGGCTCGCTTAGAGTATGGACAATATGACTTGGAGAATATGATGACTGAGGTGGTTAAGGTTAGACTAATGTTCACGAGGAGGATGGTGGATATTTTTCGAGGCAACTGACCAGGTGATTTCTTGAGAATGTCGTTCAATGTCACCTCGACTGCATGTTCCTCGTCTGTCTCCTGTGCTTCCACACTGTTGCCTCCTTCATCTTTCTTGCCTTGGCCATCGGCTGAGCTTCCAATTCCTACAATCTTCTCGGGCGCATCCGGTCTGTTTGGAGATTTTGCATTTGCAAGGTCCTTGGCTTTCTGCTCGGCGTCCTTGAGGCGCTGGGCCATCTCGCGGGCAAGTTGTTCATCATCCTCGTCGACGTCGCCATCTCTATCCTTGTCTTGTGTTGTCTGGCCTGCCTTTGTGCCCATCACAGCCTGGTCACCATGGGCCTTGTTTAGCCCATTCACAGTCTTGTAGTAGAAGTCGCCTAGTGTGCGGGTATCGCGTTCTTGTGACTGGCGCAGTCGGGATGTGTACATGAGGGTCATGACGACCAAGGCGAGCACGCCGAAGAACAGGAGCCGGACGCGCCTTGCAGAAGGCATGTTGGGCTGCGGCTCTGGTCGACAAGTATAGCTTGCAAGGTAGGCAAGAATAGTTCGAATGCAATCGATTCCAAGAAGTGATCGCGACCACGTCTGGCTGGGTAGAGGAGCTGCTCAGCTGATCGGGTGCACACAGGGAGGATGTTTTCGCAACAAGATCAGGTGCAGCACCTGCTTCGATCAACGCAGTGAGCGCGTCGGTGTGGTGGAGATGTAGCAGGTAGAGGAAGCAGAGTGAGCATTTCCTCTGCACTCGCTCTTCCAAATGAGGATCAATGTGCCAGAACAGGAGAGGTCACTCCGTGGTTCCAACGGCGTGCGATGGGAGGAGGAAGCGTAGCTGTGGTTTGTAAGGTGGAGTCTGCGAGGGGTTAATGTTGCCCCAAGGGATTGATTGACTGCAGGTGTTAGGTGACTTAGGAGAAGATGACAGCAGTTGGGGATATGAAAACTCGTCTACACCCCTTGTCGTACACCTCAACTGATTACCTAGGCAATTGATTAGAGCACGTGGATGTCAATGGAGATGTCCCGGCGAAGGCACACTTGACATAAATCAATCCATCTTGCTTGCGGGTCAAACGGTCGGCTTGGCCATGGTAAGTATTACCTGAAGCTAATCTATCTAAATAACGTGTCAAGGTACGGCAAAGGTAACCTTGAAATCCGCGAGCTGGGAGTCTCTTGGGTGATTGGCTAGGTGCTTGGGTTAGGTCCTCCCGCCAGGGGCTTGCCTGGTAGGGTCGATTGGTGGATTCAAAGGTTGGCTTGTTCGATAGCACCGTTGCACCAATCTTCCATTACCTTATTATCAAGCTTATGCACGCCAGCACGCGAGAGCCTTGCACATGGCAATCACCACCCGACCGATATCCTCTCCACATCCCGTGCGTGCATCACAGAGTAGACACATAGCGCATGCTCTCGCCTTGGCTACTGTATCTACATGTACTTCAGCAGTTCCCAAAGATAAGTGGCCACCATGTAGTGAGTGACTACCGCTTCAAGAGATAATGCCATACAGGGGAGGAACCTGGTCACCTCCCAACATCGAAATGTGAATGTATCCCTGGGCGAAACCTCCTAGTAGGGGCTTGCTGCTATGCAGGGGCTACTACATGTTGTGCCTGGGTGTGTCATGGAGGACGAATGGGCCAGAACAGGGCTGATGTGTGCGGCTCTTATCTCCTGTACAACGTCCTCCCTCTTTCCTCCAGACCACAATCATATTCCGTCTGGCCATCGAGCCCGGAATTAGGATTATTTCACGATCCAAAGGTATATGGAACAACATGATGCAGACCGGCTTCAGATCACAGACTATTGGTAGCGAGGAAAGTTCTGTTTCTGTTGTGTTCAGTCATATCCTACTTTCTGTTGCCCTTGCTGTACTCTTCCATCTTCCTCATTCTAGCCCGCGCAGATGGAAGATGCTGGATGTGACTCTGTCCCGTCCCGCTAGCTCTGCACATGTATCGCTCGGGAACGACCACAATTCGACGGACTCAAATGCTCGAGAACACGGACATGCTGGACAAAGCCTGACCACTTGAAGAGAACATGCAGTTGTTCGCGCATGATGACCCAAGGTTGGCATTGTGGATCCACGCTGGCTCCCAGTAAAAGAGCCCCAGACCGTTCTTCACCCCTGCCACGATGGACGCTACGTCCTTGATCCACGTGGTCTGGCCAGCGGCAGAGAAGGGGATGCTGCTGGCATCGCTGGGAAAAGCATATTTTGGCGATGGGCACGATGTCGGCCAGTCCGTCTCGGCCACCACAATACCCTTGCCCCAGGTGCTGGCCATATTCGTCAGGCTCGACTTGAGTGACGCCAATGTCGCAGCAGAGTTGTAAAAAGGGTAGTACGAGACGCCCATGATGTCGAAATCTGACGCGGCCAGGGTGCCCGCCGCAAGCACTGTCTTGTAAAAGTACTGTTGGGTACTCCAATTCCAACCGTTGTCGAGGTGGATCATAATCTGAGGCTTCGGATTCAGGGTCGAGTCTTTGATGCCCCATGCGGCTGAATGCAGCAACCTTGCAATGTTGGAGTACGAAGACGTCGACCCCGTGGGGAACAATAGCCCAGCCGTGATCTCATTGCCAATGGAGATGATCGACGGCTGGATGCCATTGCTCTGGAATTGGTTCGAGACGTCGAGTGTATAGTTGTACAGCCTCCATGCGAGATCGTCAATCGCAGTCGGCCATCCGGATGGTATTGACTGGTGGGCGGGATCTGCCCAGGTGTCAGAGAAATGGAGATCCAGATATACCCCAAGCCCAGCGGCCTTTGCCCGCTTCGCAAGCTGAAGGTTGTACGCAAGGTTGTAATTTCCGTCTGACGGATTGACCCAGACTCGCTGCCGGACCGTGTTGACGCCACTCGATGCCAGTATCTTTTCCAGTGCCTGAGTGGTGCCGCTCGCTGTTTTGTACGAGGTCCCGGCCTTCTCTTCTACGATGATGGACGACCAGTCAACGCCACGGTACATCAGGGCTGCCGATGCTGTTGACGCTGCGAAGGCGAGTGTTAAAACCGTTTGGATCAACATAATGTGAGTGGTAGCGATGACGATCTCTCATGCGAACGATGACTGGGCACCCACATCTCGATGCCACCTCTGGGGTCAGTCGCGGATGTAGACATGTTTATAAGAATTTGGCAAACGAGCCTTGAGGAGTCGCTCGGAGACGGACAAATCTCTCATCTCTCTTTCCCCTATCTATGATTGGGGGAAGTGAGGAAGACGATTGACGAGCCCAGGGTCGCAACAGCCGTTGGCGATATTACGGTGCGGGGAAGGGGTTACTCCTGTCGTATCCACGACACCATTTCTGGCTCTCGCCTTGCCAGTAACAGGCCATCACCCTGAAGAGTCTTACCAAAAGGAGGCAACGCCTTCGCAATCCGCGACCGAGGTAGGTTTCACACGATCGCTGGTATCCCCACCAATCAATTTGATACACCAGAGCAGGATCTCGCCAATCGTCCTACCCAAGCTTGGGTGGTTCTACAAAGATTTACCATCCCGTTATCCCGGCAACCCGATTCTACAGCCCAGTAACCTTTCCGGGGAACCCTGGACAAGCTCGGCTCCACCCGGACCGTACGGCCACCTACTCAATCACCATGAACTCTGTGAACAGCAGGTGTCCCGTCTGTACAATATAGCCAGTCTTTCGGTCCGATCAGACCTGCCTCGTCTTTAGATGCCTGCATGGCATCGCCGCATTTGCGTCTTTGGGTATTAGAGCTTGTCCAATTCGGTCATCCGCCCTGTACACCACTCAGCATGTTTCAATACATGGCTACCAGGACTTTCCTACGATTCGCGAGGTAAGACATCCTCTATTCCATCAAGAGCAGAAGCGTAGTGTTGACGTATCTCCAGACCTGTAACCAAGGCGGCATCCATTACTGTCTTTTGAGCACGTAGCAAGCGTGACCCCTTTTTGATAATTCAGTACCAGTAGAACGGCGCTACGGCCCAGGAAGTCCCTTGCTCTTACTTTTCTACACTCCTAGGGTACTCTATCAAAGAAGAATCCATCAACATCAACATCAAACATCAGTTGTCCGGAAATGATGTAGCGCCATGCGACCACAATCCTGACGCCATGAACTTGCTATGGCGTTGATAACGCGACGATAGGTAGCATAAAGGCACTCTCGTAGCAAGCATAGGCTGTCCGTGACAACTTTAATCGAAAGAACCTCGCCATGGCACAGTCACATTAGGAATACTACGATCTACGGGGCAAAGCAAAAGCAGATTGTGCAATGCTTCCTGTGGTCGCTTTTTCATGGAACGATATGCTGGAGAACAGCATCAATTAGTCGTCATACTGAGCTCAGATCTTGCGGAGACTGGACTTGTGCCATAGATGGTACTGGCCATCATGAGGGCAAGTCGCCGTTCCATGGGGTTCGAGCTCCTAGAGCGAGCAATCTCAATTTACTTCGAGATGAAAGAAGAGTTCTCGACTTCTGCAAATTGTAGAAAGAGACTGGATGCATTATACATTTGCAAGTCGGTCGATTAAGAGAAGATTAGACGGGATCCATCATAGACCTGCCTAGGTGGGTAGAGCAATTAGTGAAAACCAATCAACACGCGTGGTTTGTTAGAGTGGGTCAAGATAGTTGTGACCAATTGAAGACGCCCAGCTCGCACTTGTGTAGTCAGTCAGAGTGTCACGTGGGTAGGAGCCAATCTCCTAACAGAGAGGGTTGCCGAACCCTAGAATTTTCTGCCGTGGTGGAAGGAGCAACCAAGCCCGCCATAGCCCGAGACTCTGGTTAATCAACGACGGCCCCATCATCGCCAGATTTATCGCTCTTCGATTCATCACCATCGAAAAGTGAAAATCCCGACCAAGCCCAACCGCAATCATGGCTGACGAATACGTACGTAGCGGCGTCTTTCCCATCATCTCTTGCCCGTCTGCGCGCACACACATGTCGGAGAAGCATAGCAAGACTGACCTTGAATTCGTGAACAGAACGCGGAGGAGGCAGCTGAGATCAAGAAGAGAAGAGCCTTCCGCAAGTTTTCCTACCGAGGAATCGATCTCGACCAGTATGTTTTCCGCCTTGTTTTTCAGTTTCCCGATTACGACACCGCATTTTCCCTTAGCATTGCTGCGATGGATGGATAGCTGGATGGAGAAGGATCCGAGCACAAGCATGAAAGACAGGAAACGAGAGGCTGACACGCTCGCTCTTACAGACTCCTGGACCTCAGCTCTGAGCAGCTGCGCGATGTCGTTCACGCACGTGCCCGTCGCAGAATCAACCGTGGTCTGAAGCGCAAGCCCATGGGCCTGATCAAGAAGCTGCGAAAGGCCAAGCAGGAGGCCAAGCCCAACGAGAAGCCTGACCTCGTCAAGACTCACCTCCGAGACATGATTGTCGTCCCCGAGATGATTGGAAGCGTCATTGGTATCTACTCCGGCAAGGAGTTCAACCAGGTCGAGATCAAGCCTGAGATGGTTGGGCACTACCTGGCAGAGTTCTCTATCTCATAGTACGTCTTAAATGTTGCGTGTCCATCGAAATATCACTATACTGACCACCTCATAGCAAGCCTGTCAAGCACGGTAGACCCGGTATCGGTGCCACGCACTCTTCTCGTTTCATTCCTCTCAAGTAAAGGCTGCGGGTTTCTTGGGGTTCTTGCATCGATTCAATATGGATCAGGCGAATGGTCTCGACTTTGTCAAAGGATGGCAAGGTCAACACTATCTAGTGAAGATAGTAAAATGAAACATGCACATAGTGCACTAGGCATCCCAAGCCATATGAATTGATCGTTCTCACCATTCAAGTACCAGTCCTGCCGTGTAATGATTTGCTTCAGCTCTGGTGGGAGATGTCATGACGTATCCTTTTCCGTGTCGTGACCATTGTCTTGCTCAGTCTCTCGGGTAGATAAATTCATCTCTAGGGTTCACGCATGAAGGCATGGAATGAAATATTCTCTATTGGAACTAACGAAATCAGGATGTTTCGAGGACACCTCAGCGAGTCGGAATTCTCGCCTAATCTGTAAGTGCAGGCTGATCGAACTGGTCTTGTCCAACAACCTAATGAATGTGCTTGCTTTTTATCAAGGATGAAATTTGTTGAGTCAGCTCCGGGTGCAGGAAGATTACAATCGTGGCAGACATGCAATCGGGATTACCGGCATGGTTTCGGCATATTGTGAGATCATCCTGGACCACCAGACCAGGTTCTCAATTAGACTTCCTTTCATGCTATCTATAGTCTCAAAGCATATACATGCGTGAGAATATGTGGAACACAGTAAGCTAGAGGAGTCAGTTATCTAGTCATGCTTCGCTACAAGAGCACCCGGAATGGCGGCAACAAAGCGACAAGACTCGTCGATTAACGCAAGTATCTCTGCTATGTGCATCATTTTATTTGGTATGGTACATCATCGGACTCCTACGCCTCCTTCGTCGATGCTAGCTTCTTCGCTTTCCTCTCCTCTTCTGCGAGGTGCTGGTTTCGATAGTGAGCTACTACATTATCCAGGTTCGCATAGTGGCCAGCTGGGACATTACGATCGGGTCCCGCTTGTATCATCCTGCCATTCAGTTAGCTTACCGCCCATTTCAATGACTAGCCGTCGGCTATCGTGAGCCGGAACTCACTCTGGATATTTCAGCTCAATATGCGCGTTCCGGCCAGCGTTGTAATAGAGGTGCTTATCGAATGCTGCTTGTTCAATTGCTGCCGTGTGAAGAGTGTTCCGTTGCTCCCATTGCTTGCCGAGGTCCGACCAGCTCTGAATAGCCTTTGTCACGCTCGACGGCTCGCCATCCTTGCCCGGTCTCGAGATGTAGTAGACGAGCGCCCCGGCCGGCAGAGCTCCAAACGCAATGAAGAAACCAGCCTATGACCAATAGTTAGTCCCATTGTGAACAACAAGATGGACATCTCGCATTCTGTTGCCGGTCAACATACTCCGAGAGGCTCATCGACCGCGGGGGCGTGGTGGTCGTGATGATGTCCGTGGCTTTCTGAGGCGTAGGATCGCGAACTCCGCAGCTGTGTAGGACGTGCTCGACGAGCAACAGCGGCCGCTCTCTGTCGGAGTGGTAGCATCTTGGCTCGGCCGGTTGTGTTGTCAATTGGTGGTTTGAGTAGAGTAACGAAGGAGCACACGCCGTCAAGCTCTGAGGAGAGCAAGGTGCGCGGCAAGCCCCGGGCGCTAAATTGGCCGTTAGCGCAGCAGCGGTTGCGTCAAGTGTAGCGAATCATGTGCTGCCAAATAGAGTGCTTTTTGGCAAAGCCCCGAATGGCCAGAGTTACCTTGTGCTGAGTTTCGATAAGACACCCTGTGAAGGTAGAGAGAGGCGAAAGTCTTCAAGATACAAAGTGTCCTTTCTCTTGGATTCTATGGTTTGACTCATTGTAAACAGGATACGGTGTCATGCCAATGTACTCTATGAATGATTAATAGACTCGAGACCTCATCCTATGGATGGTTAATTGGGTGAACTGCATTCCTTTTGATCTTTCCCTCGAAATTGGTTTCAGCTGTCGGCCTTCTCATCTTCGGTGCACACGAAATTCGGCCCCATACGCACCAGCCATTCTTTTTTGCAAGCGTTCACCTGGGAACTACCATTACGGGGAGGTTTGCCGCTGCTTCGACATATGTGGCTCTTACCAAGCATTGCTAGCCTTCCGGGCATCGATATGGTCAATATTTCAACATCCGGCAATAGTCGACGATTGTTGCGGCCATCACAAGGCTCGTCTCTTTCCATGCTCTTGTTTCTAGTATTTGTCATCTTTGCATTCGGCACGGCAGGCTCAAGCTCGGCCGCTGAAAGAGGGCCGTCATCATCGCCAGAGACCGATCTGATATGTCACACGACCAATCCGGCGGACTGTTATCCCAGGGTGTTTCAACCAACAAACGAGTTCCAGACCGTTCATGACGATCAAGAGTTACCGTCAGGGCTGCATGTCAGATTGAATATCTGGACCGGCCAGAAAGAGGCCAAGATAAACGTACCCGATGAGGAAGATCCTTCACTGGATGGCTTGCCCGTTGACCGCGCAGTTGTTGTTGTGGACCCAGAGCCGGCTGTACATGAGCCACAAATTCCCAGTGGAGCACCAGGTTATGATCCAGTGGGAAAGATCAAAGAACCCAAGGACGAATCCAAAACCGAGTCGAGGGTTTTTCATGATTCTATGACCGTCCTTAAAACATTGGCGTTGGACGATCGACCGTTTGACGCGGCACTGGAAACGCTAGAGGACATAGCGCACGACATCTACTATGGGCTCAAGATAGCGGAGGACACGAGCGCAGTGAAGGCACTTCTTTGCATGATGAGCAGCCAAGAAGTCTTCCGCGAGGACGCATCCGATGTTTCTATATCCACAGCTTCTCGAGCAGCATCGATATTGAGCGCCGCGCTTCAGAACAACCCTACAGCACTCCACGAGATTGAGGTGGCTTGGAAGGACATAAGAGGATTAACATGCAAAGGGACACACCAGCCATTAAATGACGCCGTGTTTGGGATGTTCTTTCCAGAAGATGCCACGACGATGATCTCAGATCATGTACACCCAGGCCTCGTGAAGGCCAAAGTTGGGGCAATGAATGGCCTCATAAAAAGCCCGGTCATTCGGAACGACTTCCTCGCTAATGATGGCATGGCACAAGTGTTGCGGGCTCTGATTTCAGACGCTCCAGAACTCGTTGCTGCGCAGAGGAAGTTTGCGAATCTGGTGCTGGATAATTTTTTGGACGAGAATATGGGTGCAACGTTAGGTGTGTGGCCACGCCGTCTTCCCAGCGATGATGCATGGGACCATCATATCAAACAAATCGCGGAGGCGCATAGGAGGGACAAGAGCCACTGGAGCGTGGAACTCTGGAACGGGTTGAAGGAGCAGAGAGCAGGGGATAAAAGAAAACCGCGACAGGAAAAGGAGGATCTTTAATCATCTTAATACCACTACAGTTTGCAGGTCCATAATAAACACAATGTATAGAGGGCTCTTGCATAATTGGCTTCTAATACGAAATAGTTGAGGTTGCACCGTCGTGCTGTTGTTGCGGCGGGTTCTACATGTCACTGCATGGGCATGTACGCTAAATCAAGTACGCTGGCACTTCTGAAAACCTCCACTCCACTTCACAGTATACCTTCGCCACTCAGAACAGAGACTTTCCCTCGAAAGCGCATAGAAGCGTAACCTTTCGAGGCAACTAGCGACAATTCTACAGATATCACCATATTTCCATCTGCGGCACCAATCTTTCCTAGCAACAATACTCGTCAGCACGTGTCTCTGACGTGATTCCACAAGACCAACATTATCTTGTGCGTGTAGATGGACGATTTCAGCCTGAGCAGACAAGCATAGTTCACCAATTATCTCTGGCTATGTCATTATTGCATTATCCGGTCACATATTAGTTCAACGTGAACGAGATGACGACCCTTCGCACCTCCCTTCCTACCATTTCCATCGGCGGCACCCGTGGTGTAGGCGCAGGCCGTAGGATCCATGCCTCTCAGTCTTTCCAGCCGGGTGACCTTATCGCCACATTTCCCGACCCAGTTCTGGTGTTGCCGGACGGGCCATCCTCTAAAGTGGTCTGCAATCATTGCCTGGCCCACGGCATCAAACCTCGAGCATGCTCAGGCTGTAAAGCCATCGTTTATTGTAGCCCTTCATGCCAGAAGGCGAATTGGGTGTTGATCCATAAGCAGGAGGTGAGTAAGCAATTCTCTTATGCAGGTCTATTGATCTGGTTATCGAAAAGCTTTTGAGGTCTATATGTACAAATATATCAGCGTATTCTCCTTGCTTCCAGAGGTGCACGACCGGTAGTAGAAACGCGAAACAACGCTGATCATTCCTCTCACAGTGTAAAGCCTATCGAAGAGTTCGTGACAGTGTCAAAACAGACTGGCTGCCCACTCCTGTGAGGGCATTGGTGCAAATCCTTCTCAGATATGAAGAAGAGGGCATCAGAACCGCGATAGAAAACTTGGAGAGTAATCTCAGCTCCTTCGAAAAGCGAAAAGACTTGTGGAAAGACATTAATCTGCAGGCCGTGGCCGGGGTTACATACTCAGGAAAGGCCGAAACAGACGAGGAGCTATCATTGGCAAGGAATCTACTCTGTAAAGTGAGTCTCGCACTCTAATGTCTTCGTAACTGAGACCCAGCTAATAGGTGATGAGATCCAAACAAATGCGTTTGATAGGTCGGACGTCGACATAGGTCAGCAGACGGGAGTCTTCCTAGATCCTATATTGGCCATGGTCAACCACTCGTGCCTACCAAATGCGGCAGTCTCCTTCATAGGCCGCAAGGCTTTTCTCAGGGCTGAAGTGCCAATAAAAGGCGGTGATGAGATCACCATTTCTTACATTGGTATGCCGATACTCCGATACCTCGCTAGGTGCTGATACTCTGCAGATAACACGAAACCGAAGACATTCCGATTGCTGGGTCTCGACCTATATCACTTTCGCTGTGATTGCTTAAGATGCAGTGGTGACTTAGATGTGTAAGTGCTGTGGCTGATCAAGATCTCAAACCAAACTCGCTCCTCGGCAAGATCTCGATTTTTAGCCTTTGTCTATTATCGAAGATCGATATGTAGTCAAGGAAAAAACACTCCTGCACTTTAAAATACTGTTCTGTGGGTTCTGCTAACTCCTGTCTTGCAGTTGTAAGTGCACCCCAATGCCGATTGTAGACCTTTCAGGGAATTGCGTAGATGCACACGCTGTTCTGACCCATCTCTTTTTTTACCCCATCTCCTACACCATGTGAGCGACACTAACGGCCTTTTTCAAAGATGAGGTTTGTAAGAGATCGCCAGTCATTGGTCTCAATTCGTTTAGCCTTGTCCCTGATCTCAAACGGTTTCACAAGCCTCCGATTTCCATCACAGCATCGGAGCCTGTAGAAGTAAAGTCTCAGCTAGATGAGATCTACCTTGCTTGCGAAGCAGGATTTGGGAAGAACAATGGAGACGATCTCGAGGCCCTTAAGTATCAATGGGAACAATGCCAACAGCTTGTAAAGGCGAAGATGTGGGCTACAGAGCCCCTTGCACAAACACTCGAAGGGGCCATAAGATATTATGTTGGACAGGGTAGCTTGATTCATGCCTTGTCGGTTGCTTGCTTTGCGAGGCTCAATTGCGACCCATACAAACATGTCGCCCCGTTCAAGCAGTGGAGGCTTAAGGGCTTGATGGTCATTGCAAAAATGTTGACAAACACGGCACCGTATCCAGCCATGGTACAGCTTGCCGAGAAAACCGAGCCAGCATTACTTAGGGCTCTGCAGGGCGCGGATCAAGTGACAATATGTCAAGCTATGCTACTTATGGTCATATCTTATGGTCCAATGGCACACTCGGAGGAATGGGAGATACTGCTCTTGGCCAAAGATATGTTGCGAGATATCGAGAGCCTGGAAGGACGAGAGACAGAATCATCTTTACTACACGCATGGGCTCGGAAAGAAGGCGGTGCCGATGGAATATTCTTCGAGACGGAGGTCCTGAGAAAAGTCGAGCATCTCGCAAGTTTCGCGATAGGGATTTTGGAGAAAGATTTGAAGCCGAGATCACTCCTGTCGAGATAGTAAACCCAAGTTCTAGCGAGAATGCATCGGCATTGAATCGCAAGACGACAGGAAGACTCTACAACCTGGGGAGCACTTTCGAGACCCGCCCCCGGCCCCCGCGATTTCACCTGGTTGGTAAAGATTGGAAGATTATTGGAACTGAAGTATTTGGGATCGCTTAGTCTAGACTAGTAACGCCACGCCTGGAGGTGCGTCGCTGCGTTCGTTTATCTACCGCGCCTGTCTTTGTCAGTCGCGTTTTCTTCCCATCCGACTTGATCAATTCACTTGTTTGGGAGAGTCCTGAAGGGGGATCCATAGCAGAGGAAGGACGTTTCCTCCTCCCTGATATATATAGATTCGGGGGATATGACCCAGTCTCTTCGACTCCCAAATCAGGTTTATTCCCGTAGTCTGCCTCCATACGTTCTAGCCGCCCTTTGAGAATGTCAAACTCCATCTGGAGAGTCTCAACCTGATTGGCTCGATTTCCGATTTTTGCAATGTTACTCGCTAGGATATCCACTTCTCTTGATGATGCGGCTGTGTTTGTCGAAGTTGTGGACTGTCCGGAACGGTTGTGCATTAGTTGCTTTCGAAGAGCTGTCAGCTCTGCTCGGAGTGATTTGACTTCGTTTGCGTATATTTCGGCAGCTGAAGTGCAGCCGCTCACCACCGCCGAAATATCGTCTACCTCCTTTTTCGTTCGGCTGACGCTAGACTTGACCGCTATGAGATCCTTCCGAATGTGCATGGAGGTGGCATCCAGGTCGTGTCTGAGGCTAGACACGGTTGTCTTTAAAGAAGTCACGAGATTACTTAGACTATCGACTGCCTTAATACCTGCTGCAGTTTTCTTGATATCAATCACTTCAGTCTTTAGGGAGGAGAGATGGTCTTGATTCTCTCCCATGTTTTGCTTCAAGTTTTTGAAAGAGTCTTGCAGGCCTTGCATCTCATGCTCGATTCGAAGCACGGCTTTGTCAAAGGCAGAGACAATTTGGTAGCCAGCGCTGTCGATCCGATCAATATCCTCTCTTTGGACGTCGAGGTCAGCCTGAATATGTGAGATATCCAGATGTTTTCCGTCATCCGAAGCATTGTCTTGGTCTTCGACGAAAGATGGCGGGTTGCCAACGTGACCTCTCCCTGGTGTGGCTCTACTGCTTGAGGCAGTGGTCGTGCGCTCGCGCAATTGCAAATACCGCTTGACCACCAAGTCGACATGATGGTTTCCAGCGACTGACACTGGAACCACAGACGTATGACGCAGGAGGATTTGCTTTCTATGAAATCGTCAGACGATGCTCGGAGACGGTACAGAACGGGACAGGAAAGGACTCACTCCTGAAGGACGTGATTCACGGGGGTGCTGACGCACTCCAAACCAATGATTGAACCGCAAGCAGCACAGGCAATATCCTGGAGTTGGCTAAGAGAGGGTGGGTGTCAAAGACTCGGAATATTTGATACTTCTAACATTAGGAGATTGTCTCAGCTTACCAGTTCTCGACGAGACTGTGCTTCTCGCCTGACCTCACATCTCCACGTCTGCGAATTTGTTGGCCGCGCTCTGGTGAGAGGATCGGACTGAAATAACTCTTCCCGATCTGAGTCCAACTATTGACGAATGTGCCTAGTGAATGACCGCATTGCTTGCAGTCGCAACGGATCTGTTCCATAGTGAACGGCACTTCTGCTAGTTAATGGTGTTTGGGAGGGTGTTACAGCGTGTAGCCTTCGCCGAAAGCTCTCGCCGTGTCTCAACCAGGATCAAGATGAAGTGTCCTTATGAGCGGTAACAATAGTAGGCTAGAGGATAGCATCGATCGTGAACATGACAAAGGGTGCGCTCTAGGCACGTCTTGGTGACTTGAAAGCCGCAGTATCCAGCCTGTTGGAGGAAGTAGGTTAGGAATCGTATCTACCCACCTAGGTACCTAGGTAGATGACTTTCTAACGGGAAGATAGCCTTTGGAGTGGTACCTACTAAGGTACCTTAGATTGCAGTCCCCAAGTCCTGGCCCCCGAAAGAGCGACAAAGTGCACTGGACTGGTGGGGCGCCCACACCCGTACCCCACGGACGGTACCTAGAGTTAGGTAGTTGATCGTCATTAGCGTGTACACCTTTCTACCGTAGTTCAGGTCCACTAGAAAATTATCACCAGTGCAGAGCCCGGCGACGCCAACAGCTACTACACCTTACACTCCGAGCTTCAAGCCCTTCAACCTCCCAGCTTAACTCACCCTGCCATGTCGAAGCCTACGACTGAATAGTACCCCCTAGTATCTACACCTCTTTGACATCCCTCGAAACCCGCGTGTGAGTGAGGGGCAAGTGAGGGACACTACACGAATTCGAGCACGAGCTGTGCGACTCGCTCAACGTGCTCACAGTCATGGCCACGGGTGCCGAGGATAAGGATGGAAGTCCGGGTAATGCGAGCTCGGAAGTGAGCAACGCCGTCGGCGAGACTGCGTCTCAAGCTACAAGCGATTCGACTGGCAGTGCCGGGGTGAAGCGCAGAAGCCCACACGCGGCTGATGCAGGCGGCGACGACTGGCAACTTGTTCAACGACCGAATAAGAAGGCGAAAAAGATACCAAAGCCCGATGGCAGCAATTACCCATCTATCACGTTCTCATCGCAGGCCAGACTACAGGCCAAGATACAAATCACTCATCTGCGCGACCTGGTTCTATATATCATGGCAGACGGTTCCGCCCCCGCGTGGATTGCCGTAAGACATCGCCCCCATTTCAGAAAAGTGGTAGTCCTCATCGTACCTGGGCTGGAGGAGGCCATGTTCAAGCATGATGTGGACTTTTCCTCCTATAATTCTCAGAGTACAAAGGATGGTACGGGGCCACCGGCCGATCGTACCTCGACATCGCCAGACGACTATTACCCGCGCGTGTTGAAGAAGGACCGGATCCCGAATGCCCTGAAACCTTTTGCAGAGATGTTCACGCATCTATGGCCTGTTAGAGCTACTGGAGATGACCGACAAGCGCGCATGCACTCGCCCATCACTACTTTTCTCACGGTTCCTCTGCCTAAGTCAGCAGAGGACAGGAGTAGGAAAGGTCCAAAGCCACCGAGAGATCCTCAGGGCTGGAAGGATGTACGGACACGAATCACTGAATTTCTAGTTGGCCCGGACCAGTATTCTGAGAACGGCTTTCTTCCGCATCCCGCCACGTTGACCGATGAGGCGAGCCGCGTCACTTTCAAGGATCAAGAGGGCTGGGTTCATACCCATGTAGAAAAGCTCGCGGACGGGGACGTTCCTGAGAACGAGATCCAGCATGGGAGCATCACAGCAGGTCGTGAGATTCTCGCGCTTGATTGCGAAATGTGTATGACGGGCGAGAAGGAGTTTTCCCTCACAAGAATCAGCGTCGTCTCTTGGGACGGCACGGTTGTCATGGACGAGCTTGTCAAACCAGAAAAACCCATCATCGATTATGTGACACAATTTTCTGGGATCACGAAGGAGATGCTCGAGCCCGTTACCACGACACTGGAGGACATTCAGAACCGACTTCTCGCTCTCATTACGCCGCGTACTATACTGCTTGGCCACTCCCTGGACTCAGATCTGAAGGCCCTACGGCTCACACACCCATTTATCGTTGACACCTCGGTCATGTTCCCGCACCCGAAGGGCCCGCCATTCAAGCACGCCCTGAAATGGCTTGCGCAGAAATATCTCAACCGTGAGATCCAGAAGGGACATGGGACGATGCGTGGACACAACAGTATCGAGGATGCAAAGACCTGCCTCGACCTAGTCAAGAAGAAATGCGAGAAGGGAAAAGCATGGGCGGCTGGCGAATCCTCGGGTGAGAACTTCTTCAAACGCCTCGCTCGTGCGGGCACCGCGTATCGGGCGCAAGCCGGCCCTGATGCTACGGGTGGCATTGCATTGGGAAAGACGTCTGCGGCTGTGGACTGGGGCGATGCCAGTCGCAGCGCCTGTGGGCTTGCAAGCGTTGTGCTTGGTGGCTGTAAGAGCGATGCGGAGGTCGAACAAGGCGTGCTACGCGCCGTGAATGGCGATGATGACGGCAGGGTAATCAAGGGCGGAGGTGTTGATTTCGTGTGGGCTCGCATGCGCGAGCTGGAGGCTTTGCAAGGCTGGTGGAATCGCAACAGGATGGAGGGTGACGAGGCTGGCGGACCTCCCCCTGACCTTGCGGAGTTGCATGCCTCGGCTCACAACAATCCCTTCGTCCTCAATGAGTCTGTGACAAGGGATGCTGCTGGAGACGGTCTCGTACAACCTGGAAAGCTGCCACCTTCGGCACCGCCTAGCAGAGAACCGTCAAAGACAACCCTCGAAGATTGCTTAACGCGGCTGTCCACGCGTCTGCAGCGCATCTACGACGGACTCCCACCCTGCACGGCCTTCATTGTCTTCAGCGGAAGCGGTGATCCTCGGGAGATGAGCAGGCTGCAGAATATGCAATCACAATGGAAACGGGAATACAACACCCCTGGCCGCAAGTGGGATGAGCTGAGTGTCAAGTGGACAGATGTGGAGGAACAGGCCTTGAAGCGAGCAGTACGAAGAGCTCGTAATGGTATTGGATTTGTGGGCGTCAAATAGCTTCCTGCTACGTTGGCAAACACTGACCTATTTGCGTGTCCAGATGGCAATGTGGACGCCTGGGGAGGTAGACATGTCGTGTGAGAATCAAGTAGATACCCAGGGGACCAGGCATGTGGCAAGAGATGTGCCACTGCCAGAGGCATCTGTCATGGCGATGTGCAGCATCGATTGAGTATGGACATCTCACGAATGCCAACTACAGCATAGAAGAGATTTCGGGATAGCTTCCTCGCAATCTAGTTGCCTACGTTGAATGTTCCCCGGATGACTTGGTGACATACCTAATCTGAGCTTGGTTGTATCTCCTACCTGCCAACTTGCCGAGGCACCTACTCACTCGCCATGATACGATTATAGATATTACTTAGGTAGGTACCGCTCGCGTCATCAAGTCAAGCGTTTGACAAGATGTTGTAGCATCGTTGAGCTCGTCAGTCAAAGAGTACCGACCAGGTGTTGGGTATTGGGAAAACCGCATGCATCCTCCCTGGGTCCTACTAGCTTTGCAATCCGTAGGCATTTCCAAGATCTATCAACCTTGGCTTACTGGGACCATGTTTAATCAGAAGAAAGGGGGATGCGACAGGCACATGCGCACATGCATTTTGACAGGAGATGGACGCCTTCCAGTGACGATAATGCGGGGATGATTGGGGAAAAGGACCCTGGCTTGCCCTGAAGAGCCTCGGCAAGGCGAATCTTCAGCCGATTGGCCAGAGAGGCCGCTATAAATGTCCCAGTTACAGGTACCCCGCCACCAGCGTAGGGGCAACGCTACTGTCGCCTTCACCTGCTTGATTACCTTACTGTGTTGTTTAGGTACCTACCTTAGGTACCTTACCTAGGCTAAGGCAAGGCCTCTCTCCATTAGTAAAGCGCTTTCCTACCAACCTTCGTCGCCCCTCATCCATCCAACTTTACCGACGCACACATATACCAACACCTAGCAACAAAAGATCCGGTCAGACAGACAGACGAACCGATAGACGGCTTTAGAGACCGTTTAAGTTGTAGTAGATCTGTCACACCCGACTCGGCCACCATATCCGCGCATTGCCAGGCAGGCGTCTACTTGTGAGAGGAACCTCACTTCGGGCGCCTCCGTCCAGTGAGACTCGGCGGCATCGGCCGAGGCACCCCACGGCCGACCTCATAGATATTGAGAGCAGAGCCCACGATCCTACGAGGCGCGGTGTTGTTGTTTGTTTGCGCACGCAACGTCCACGCGGCTGGCTGCGAATCCCTTCGCTTCACCATCGCCATTTTTGTGCCACCTGTCGACCATGTCCTTCCTCGGCGGTGCAGAATGCTCAACCGCGGGCAACCCACTCAGCCAGTTTACCAAGCATGTCCAGGATGACAAGAGTCTGCAGCGAGACAAGTTTGTCAACAGGGGCCCAAATAGCTCCCTGAACTCTTTTCGAAGCGCTGGAAGAAGCACTCCTCAGGACGAGGTGAGTTTGTGTGAATCACCAATAATCCCTCGCTCTTTGCCTGTGATTGCCTGTTTGTCCGAAGATCAGGCTGGCACAGCCCAACGCTGCGTGTACTGACCTCGCCCGTGCCCACAGATGATGAACGGTTTCCTCCACCAAAATCCCAGCATGCCCGAGATGGCGTTCGATCAAGGAGGCCCCGTCTCTCGCGGCCAAGTGCATGTAGATCCTTCCCAAGGGATCCATCTACGCGCAAAGTCGACATCGCCGGTCTGGGACGGCCCAGGCACAATGGAAGGCACCTACAAGGCTCCGCTGGCATCTCCATTCAGCGCAGACGAGTTTGCCAGCTTCCAGCAGGCCAGCCACAGCCAGACGGCGAGGTCGAGTCCCATGCCAGGTGCCGCCATGTCAACACACTCCTATCGGCCAATGATGGGGGTGGGCATGATGAACTCCGGGTACAGTATGGGCATGCAGACACCAATGTACAATCAGATGTACCACCACCAACACCAGCCGCAACACCACATATCGGACCAGCAGACCGACGTGAAGGGTAAGGGCAAGATAGTCGAGCTGGATGACCACCAGTGGGAGGAGCAGTTTGCCCAGATTGAGTTGCAGGACAAACAAGCAAGGGAGGACGAAAGTTTGGCAATGGAGCCCGAGCTCAACAAGTTGGATGAGAAGATACTCGAGTCCGAGACCGGCTTCGGCGATTTCGAGTCCATATGGCGGGGCATTCAGAACGAGAACGATGCAATGAGATCTATGGCGGACGACGATTTGGGCATGAAATGGGGCGACGACATGGAAGGCTGGGGTGCCGGTAGTGGTCGTGTCACCGCCAACCCCCCAGTAGAGGAGTATCTCTTTGAGGAGGAGAACATCTTCAAAGACCAACAGAACCCGTTTGAGGAGGGCGTGCGCATCATGAACGAGGGCGGTAACTTGTCGCTTGCCGCACTCGCGTTCGAGGCCGCAGTTCAGAAGCAACCAGATCATGTCGAAGCTTGGGTCTACCTAGGATCGGCTCAAGCACAAAATGAGAAGGAGGAGGCAGCAATCCGTGCACTCGAACACGCTCTGAAATTAGATTCGAACAACCTCGCTGCTCTGATGGGCCTGGCGGTTTCCTACACCAATGAGGGATATGATAGCACAGCTTACCGCACGCTTGAACGCTGGTTATCGGTGAAGTATCCTAACATCATCTCGCCAACGGAGTTATCTTCAGCCGCTGAGATGGGCTTCACCGACCGCGCGCAACTCCACGAGAAGGTCACCGACCTCTTTATCAGAGCAGCACAGCTGTCACCTGACGGCGAGCATATGGATCCGGACGTACAGGTTGGTCTTGGCGTGCTTTTCTATGGCGCTGAGGACTACGATAAGGCCGTGGACTGTTTCAGCGCCGCCCTCACCAGCAGCGAGATGGGCAGCACCAACCAGCGAAGTCAGATACACCTCCTGTGGAATCGCCTTGGCGCTACTCTGGCGAATAGCGGCCGCAGTGAAGAGGCCATTGCGGCGTACGAGAAAGCCCTGACCTTGCACCCCAACTTTGTCAGGGCACGATATAACCTTGGTGTCAGTTGTATGAATATTGGCTGTCATGATCAGGCCGCCGGCCACCTACTCAACGCTCTTGACATGCACAAGAGCGTGGAGAAGAGTGGGCGCGAAAAGGCGCGAGAAATTCTAAGCAGCACCGGCGATGGTAGCGATGTCAGTGACGAGCGTTTAGATCAGATGACCACGCAAAATCGGAGCACCACGCTTTACGATACTCTACGCCGGGTATTTACACTCATGGGACGTCGGGATCTCAGCGAGAAGGTTATTGTGGGGATGGATCCCGACATCTTCAGAGCAGACTTTGAATTCTAAACGGGATGGTCATGTAGGAGGAGATTCATCCTCAGAAGCACTGCCTCAAAAGATAGACATTGAGAGTGTGGTCTAAAGCCACGAGATCACGGCGCATGTACATATTTTGGCTGCATCCACAGTAACCGGAGTTTAACCTAGGTGTCGTGTATTATTTGACCATGTCACTCCAACATAGCTATACATATCACCAACTTCAGGTGCGAGGTTAGCTCGCGAGAAATGCGTGTTCACAAGCTACCTTAAGTGCATTTCACATCACTCGCCATCATTCAGAGATGCAACACCAAGCTTGAAGACAGAATTGGAGATCGCTTGACATGTACATACAGTTTTTGCCGCATAGCCCTTGGCGTTTGCGTTTCTTTCATACATATACACTATAATACAGTACTCATTGCTGTGGCCCGCCGCGTAAGCCATATCAGATCCAATGGCATATACTTCTCCACAGGTTGCCCTTGATCCGTCCTCACCGGGGTCCCGATGGTATGATATGTCATTAATAACTATATATACAAACCTGGAGATGTGTTTCGACTTGTCCCCGAGGTTGGATGAATTGTGGTTATGCTTGCCGTAGTTCCACATCACAGTCCACGCATCTGGAAGTGAGTCCTAAGATTCGGCAGTGAACTCTGGAGGAGTGTCCGAGAGCTGAGGCCGCTTTCGCCTTGAATTGCCCTCCGCAAAATCTAGGCGTAGCCTCCGGCCGCCAAGTGTCATGTTCTGCAGCCGCGCCATGGCCCGTTGGGCCGACTCAACGTCTGCAAAGTCGGCATGGGCAAACCCACGCGGCCAACCTGTGGTGCGGTCCACAGCAACACGAACATCGGTGACATTTTCCAACTCGCTGAAGAGACGGTTGAGCTCAGAGTCGGTGGTCTCGTATGGGATGTTGCCAATGAAGATAGACTGGGACGGAACACTCCGCGGGTTCGACATTCGGCTTAATGTCTTCACCCTCGGGGCGACCATGATACGCCGACCGTGCCAAAATGATCCGTCCGCTTCAGCGATGGCGGTTTTCATGGCGTCCTCCTTCGTAAACCAAACAAATCCGAAGCTGCGCATATCGGTTTAGCATTTACGGAAGAGTGGCAACTAGGGGACGGGAGAACCTACCCTTTGCTCAATCCCCGACCATCGCGGGCAATGGATGTGTGTGCCACTTCGCCATACTTCTCAAAAGCCTCTTTCAGATGGCTCTCGTTGGCCTCGAATACCATGTTCCGTACAAACAAACCATACGGGGTCTCGAGATGCGAGTCCTCCTTTTTCTTAGATCCAGCAGACGAGTCGACTCCCTCGGAATCGAACCTCTGGCTCTCCTCGGGTGAAGCCTCACCCTCACTAACGGACTGGACGGCTTCGTCAATGATTTTCTTGTCGGCCACATCTTCCACGTCATTCGCTATACGTGCGGTATGCGAGAACCATCTTGAATTTGCCAGCACCGAAACATATGGCGTTTCAATCGCTCGAGTCCATTGTGCGGCAAACGAGGTCGTGTGTGGCTTGACTGCAGCTGCTCTCGAGGCAGAGATGGCAGATCTCAGGGCGGCGCGGCGAAGGGAATGCCTGACAGATGATTAGCGCTATCCTGCAGCTGCGACATGAGGTTCTCAATGGCGATGCAACATACATGATGTGATGCTGACGCTGTCTTGATTGGGTTTTTAAACGAGACAATCGGGTTGTATAGCGGTGAATGAAGGTGCCGAAATTCTCATCCGGACTCGTGGAGGTTTTCAACAATGAAGCATGCTAGAGTGTATCGTTACTTTTGCGATGGAGAAAAAATCTTTGGGCAATGTCATAGCCGGCAGGCGGCGCCAGCCAGGACCGGCGCTAGTCAAAATGGAGACGGCGCGGCTAGCTATCACAACCTCCTTAGCTATAGTACGTACCTGAACTCATCTTCATTGACCTCACTTCAGATGTCTTAATTGGTTCAGAAGCTTAAGCCAAAACAGCGATCTCGTCGTGTCAATATCTATACATGTTCTGCTCCAAAACTTTGCTCCAAAATAAAAGCCATCCAGTCATAAAGTCTCAAAACGAGGCCGGGAGAATCACGAGGACGACTTTACCGAGGAGATTGAGGCTGGGTACTGTTATCTCCAGTTTGCCTGATGCATACAAATATAACTATGCTTGCCTATATCAGTAGTTTAACTGATGTCGCATCTTGGTCCTTTGCCAGCGCGACAAGAATGAATTAGAGAGCTCAGGAAGTAAAGTCAAAGCGGCGCAGGCCATCTTCTCAACAGCTACCACGTCTTATACACGCAACCGCGTACCCTACATCCTACGACAAGTAGATATAAGACGAAGTAGAGAAATCAAAAGATCCGCAGCCCCATACCGCGTTGAGGTATCCAACACTCAACCAGGGCCGTGGGGGTATATACATTCAAACCAGACCCAAATTTCCATAACATAGTGAATGGCCCAGGAGGACCGCCAACAGGTCAGTCTGCCCGACCGTGAGCTAGACTTCGAAACGAAGTAGCGGTATTGAACCGAAATATTATACCGCCGCAAATTCCACAAATCCTTCCTCGCCGTCCATCCAAGCCTTTTGAATATTTTTCTCTCACACACACCAGGATAGGGAAAGAAAAGCCAAAGTCCGTCGTACGTGACTGATCACCACCCAGGTCCAAATAAACCCCTGTCTCGCAAATCTCGAGCGCTCGGGCGCAACCTAAAGTTGTACAGAATATGAAATAAGGAAGAACACACAAAACTCCTTGGAAACACCCGATTTCTAATGACACACTGCGCTTGAGTTGCGCTAGGGAGGGCGTTTGGCCAAGTAAGGACATCGTACGGATGGCGAGTGTGAGTAATAAGAGAGAAATCGTCGGCATGATCGTCGGTCGTGTGGTACAATATTGGTCGAGGTATCGCTCTGGATATCGCGCGTCGTGTGAACCTCGTAGATGGTTGTCTTCGACAGATGGACCATTGTCCATTCTCCAGCCTTCTCCAGCCAAGAAGCGACGGGAATGTCGCAGAGTTTAATAATAAAACATAAGGGGGCGATACGCAGTAAACAGAGAGGCGACGACAATTGTCATATTTCCCTCAGAGAGACCACGTCAAGTCGTCGTAATTAGAAACGGCCCTCCGCAGGGCGGAAGCCGTTCACGCGCGGCTGCTCATATTGAACTCCCGTCATAGATTCAGGGCCGTTGGCAATGCCGCTGCTCAATGATCTCAGAGGGGGTAGCTCAGGCCTTGAGGCGCCCCTTGCATATGGGTCCGCCGATTGCAAAGCATGTGGTCCGCCTGCTTGGCCAGAGGAGATGGCAGACAGCTCGGTTCTCAGCTGGTTGTTTTCCATCCTCAACCCTGCTAATTCGCGTCGCATCATTTCAACCTCAGCCATTACATTCTGGGTATTGTGCTGGAGGTATTTGATCGTGTCGGCCTGTCGCTGGTGCTCGGCAATTGCTGGACCGAGCAAACATTAGTTCACAAAATAGATTTGGGAAACGAGGCTTGTATCTTGTAGGTCACAACTCACCTTTGGTAAGGATTTCCCACTTAGAAGCCTTGGAGCCTCTTTCCTGCGGCATGAGATCCCGAAGCTGCTCGAAAAGCTCCTTCATTTCGGTGCGTCGCTTCCGTTCAGCAAGTTTATGGCTTATGCGCAACTCTGGTGTCCGACTATAAGGTTGCGATCCAGCCCCTCCGCCAAGCTCCTCGCTCTGAAGATCTCCTAACTGCTTGTGTTGTAGGGTGTGGTGATGTACTGCAGGAAACTCGGCGGAAGCGCTTGACAGCCGTTGAAAGTCAGGGCCGACGATTCCTTCGTCGAGTCGTCGCTGGCCGGGTGGCAGCCGTGACTCGGTAGTAAACTGGCTGCTGGCCAGGGAATCAGCGATACTGCTCCGCCTGGAATCGACCAGGTTTTGGCTTGCTGATGAGGGCAATCTCTGTATCTCCTCCTCGGGGAAAGCCCAGGCTTGACCTTTGGTCGGCTCAGCGGCTCGAGCAATATTGCTCGTCGCGGGTCCTGTAATGGCAGGGGCGGTTCTAATGATTTTGGGCTGCCCATCGGGATTGCGCTCCGTGCTCGGCTGATAGCCGTTGGAGATACGGTGAACGGACAGGGTGTCAAGGCCCGACCTGGGATTTCGTTGCTGCTGCAGGCTGTTCTGGATGGAGGTGGTTGACTGGTTATGGCTGGCATAAGGTGAGTTACCCAGCCTGAGGTCGCCGAATCCTTGGTTGATCCTGCTATCGACGCTTTCACGGCGTGAGATTGGCTCCGGTGGCTGGTCGGCCGCGAAGGTGGCGCTGTTGGGCGCGGAATCGAGCGATTGTAGCCGATCCTGGCGTCGAAGATCAATGCTCCCGGGCGTGGTGGGTGAGACCATGGATGCTACACTCATATTGCTCGTAATTGGCGACACGAGCGGCTGGGGGATGAGGTTGGTCGAGATGGGGGACGGGGTCTTGTCAGTGGACGGCAAAGAATGGAAACCAGAGGCTCCGGGGCTGAGTGCGCTGACCCCATTGTACGAGGCGGCTGAAGTATCTAAATCAGAATGTCAGTCTTGTAAGTGTTTGCGCATGACAAGCGCCCATTGGCAGTCAAGCGCGCCGCGCAAGGAAGAACACACGTTTGCTGGAGGCGTCAGTGCTAGAGAAGTAGGCCGAGTCTCGATGATCCTCGGGCGAGTTCAAGACACCAGCTAAGCCGGCAGGCAGCTTCTGCGAGGCAGGACGCTGCTGCTGGTCCATTATGAAGAGAAACGTCGAGCAGTCGTTCAGATGTTCGGTCGACGAGGGGTGGATTCTACCAGGGAGCAAGGGAATGAATGGTACGGGCTAGCGAAGGTGATGGTAGCCTGAGAGCCGTCAAAAGATGCCCGCGAGAACTGGCGCGAGGCGTCCAACAAGATATATATATATATCGTTTAGGTGAGGCAGGTGAGGCGTGGAATTCGAGATGACAGGCCGGGCTCCGAAGCTGAGCAGCTGCTTGCCAACCAGAAGCACAGCGACCGAGTCCGCAAAGTGTCGAGGGGGACTTGACGAGAGAAGCAGGGAGGATGAAGTCAATTGACCAGCTCTGCAGACAATTGAGCACAAGAGAGTGTGACAGCCTGGTCAAGGAACGAAGGAGAACAGACAAGGAGCGATTTTTGAAAAAGAACGGCTGGATCTATGTTTGAGAAGAGGCTGTAAACTTCTCACAAGCAAGACAATTAGACCGGGGGGTGTCAGAGGCGAGAGGCGAGAAGCGAGGGACGAGGATAAAGAACCGAGTATGAGAGGTGTTGATGTTGAACGATGATGATGATGACCGTTGCGGCAGCCGTCGTCTTGGTCTTGGTTTTTGGTCTGGAATTGTCGTCGCTGTGGCCGTGAGACACAAGATGTCAAGTCGATGGAGTCGCTGAGGACTGTCGGTAAGGAAGGTGAAGTCGAATTGATCGAAAGCGTAGATGGGCGATGCGAGAGTACAGGGACTGGAGACATAAGGCGTGGTAAGTGGTAGAGTAGGTAAGGGTGAGTGAGGAAGGGAGGGGGAGGAGGAAGTGCCAGCCAGACAGTGAGCGGGAGCCCTACCTACACGTGTAGACTGGACTTTCGGAGGGGAGGATGGGGGTGATACAGTGCAAATTAGCAGGGGGGCCTTACTTTAGGTCCTAGGAAAGAAGACCGTCTACTGCAAACTTACAGTAGTCTATAGACTACCTAGGTACAGGCATGCGTCGTGCAGCAGCAGGTGTCCTCGCGTAGGTGCAGGTGCAGGTGGAACTGGCAGGAAAAAGAAACGCCACAGTGCGAGCTGAGCCCCTAGGTACCCAGGGTACCTCCGGCTTCACACGAGCTCCTCACTCCTAAACCTCAACACGTACTTAGAGAGGTAGACGTCTACCTACCTAGGTACAGTATCACGATGAAGTGAGAAAGGTGCACTTTGTACTCCCCTTAGATATAGTCGATCTAGCGAGCCACCCACCTAAGGTACTGTAGCTGGAAGCTGGCACTCAGCAAGAGAGGGACCCGGGCTAGCAGCGGGCAGATGCCAGATGGGCGGATGCCATGTGCGCGCTAGGACCGTCTTCCTACCTGGGCAGGTACCTGGCGAGGTGCGACTGTCAGACACTGTCTACCCAGGTAGGTTACCTACCGGTCTATTCGTGCTCGCTAACAGGAAATGCAGATAAACTCGACATCGACAGATAGCTAGATACCTGATGGTGTTACATAGATAGTACATAGGGAGGGCATCCATGGGAGGCGGCTTGGCCTCAATTGTGATAATGAAGGGCCAGCTCGAGGCCAGATAGGGCCCAGGGAGCGGCTTGAAAAGCAGGACAGGGGTGAGGCAGGATGGGACAGGGTTATTGCCATGAGGCTTCCCTGCACGGGCAACTCTACCTACCTACCTTAGGTACCTAGGTACCTTAGCTTACCTTATTTTGCAGTACTGCACAGCACAGTATGCCTCCACTCCCCTCCTGGGGCTCCTCCTCCTCCTCCACCATTTCCCCTTCCCACTTGATCTACCTTCTTTACCTAATCTGCGAGGTACCTGTGCCTGTCTCCTCTCATCCAAGCGACAAGTCCTGGGTAGAAGAGCGACTTGGAGAGTCAGCACCTGGGGTAGGCACCAAGGTAGCTGGGCAAGGGAGAGTCCCCGGGGCCAGTCCGACAGCGAGAGCACACCGGCAAGCGAGGGTGACTCGTGAGAGGTACCTAGGTAGGTACGCTGAAAGCTAACCGCTTCACGCCTATTTGCGTAGGTACCTAGGTAGACGGGATACCTATCCCGCTAGGTGCGATCGATAGACCAGGATGGTGCTAAGGCAGGTTCGTCGTAGGTGGCTGCTCGCCGGCCACGTTTTTCCCACCCACACCAGATACCGAGCGACAATTGCGTACCTAACCAGCTAACC